AAAGAAAGAAAGAAAGAAAGAAAGAAAGAAAGAAAGAAAGAAAGAAAGAAAGAAAGAAAGAAAGAAAGAAAGAAAGGATGTTTATTTTCATCCCGCCTTTATTATTTTTATAAATAACTCAAGGCGGTGAACATTCCTAATACTCCTTCCTCCTCCTATTTTCCGCACCACAACAAACCTGTGAGGTGGGTTGGGCTGAGAGGGAGTGACTGGCCCAAAGTCGCCCAACTGGCTTTCATGCCTAAGGCAGGACTAGAATTCACAGTCTCCTGGTTTCTAGGCCAGCACCTTCACCACTAGACCAAACTGGTTGGGCCAATTCATGGAAGTCCTGGGCATCAATGGCTCTTAAGCCTTGAGGGAAGTGGGGCTGCCTCTGACGGCCATCAGCTGGGAGACCTTGTGCAGTTGGGTGAGCCCTGAGAGAACAGACTGCTGGATTAAATGGGCCAGGGGTACGATCCAGTGGGGCATTGCTTATGTTCTTACGCTCTTAAAAGCTTTTGGTCCCACTAAGAGAAGGATTGGCTTCTTAAAAAGGGTTTCATGGGAACGGCCCTACACCTTACACTGATTTTCGTGCATGTGATATTAGGCAAGGAAACTGAGGACTGTTCACATGAAATAACTCCTTTTGCCTGCTTTTAAAATAGTTTTTCGATGATGATGATGACGACGACGACGATAGCGTGAGATTTATTCCACGTAGAACGGAATAAACAACCAGAACTACTCAGTGAATGAGATGGGAAAGGAAAATGAGATGATTGGAATGAAAGCTGTCGATGTTGTTTGTGCAACAAATACCAATCAACTTTTCCAAGAACAAAACATTTATATCTCTGGCTGAAAAGGCCTGGAAGAGCTGTAGTTCATAACTTGCTTAACTGGTTTGTGAGAACCGGGGCGGGGGGGCAGGGGGAGTCTTCTTCAGTCCCCTGGATGCCAGATGGGGTTGGGGAAGCTCCTCTTGGAGGCTTGAGCTGGAGAGCTGGTGAAAGTTTGGTAGATGAGACGGGGACAAGCTTTGGGTCCAGCTCCCCCCCACCAAAAAATGTCCATTGAGATTGTAATTCCTGTTCCAAACTGGTACATGGGGTGTGATCGTATCAGTGATATTCAGTATCGATACAAATACTGAAGGATAGGATAGGATACAATGGAATTTCACCTTTAGAATTTATATTTGAAGTGTCTCTTCTAGTTTTCCTTGGCTCCCTGCCTGTGTTATTTTACTTGATTTGATTCTGGACTCCACCCTGGCCTTGAGGAAATTTGCTCAGCTCTTAGTCGGGTGCCCCAGCTGGAACGGCACGTGCTTGTGCCCTCACCTTTGCCGTGTGCCCAATCTCCAACGATTCCCTTTGTATCCTTGCCTATTTCCTGGCCTTCCTGGAGTTCATTTGGTTCGGCTCCAGAGGCCCAAAGGGACAATCCCTCTGGATATTTGGGAGGAAAAAAACATTTTGCTTTTCAAGATCTTGTCCAGGATGAGCCAGGGGCAAGAATCACAAGATCTCTGCGTGAGGCATCTTCGTATTTTTGTTTGCATGGTTGATGTCCCCGGGTGGATCAGACAACCAGCGGAGAAGATGATCCAAGAGGGTTTTTGTTCTCTTCCATCAGACTTTTGCTTTAACCGCCTTTTAAAAAACTTGCTTTTAGGCTTGAACCAACCAGCAGGCTCAGGGGTCAGGATGACAAACAGGACTGGTGCCTATTCGAGCTCAGCAGGATCAATCTGATATCACTCCTCCTCATTCCAGAAAACAATTATTTTCAGAAGCACAGTCTGTTGTGATCCAGAACAGCGAGGTCTTTAGAGGGGATCTGCCCAGTCTGGTTCCTCTGCTGTTTTATTTATTATATTTTAAAGAGACACTTTTTTTTGTTTTTACAACAACCCTGTGAGGTAGGGTCGTCTGGGCTGTGGTCATTCAATCCCTTTGCCATTCAGGGTGAATTTACATTTGGCTTTCCCTGAGTCCTGGTTTTAAATCTCAGCAACTCCCTTGTTCTAATCCACTGGTTTTAAAGGTTCTTGGAATTCTGGGAGTTGAAGTCCACACAATTTGAAGTGCAGCAGTAGAGAAACGCTGCCCAAAAGCAGCGTTTCTTAAAGTGTGGTCCGAGGCCCTCTGGGACCCTCTCAGGGGTCCACAAAATCAAATTTGCCGGCCTCTGTTGAAAAATAATTCAACATTAAAGTCCTATCAAGCAGTCATGAGAAACAGCAGCAGCGGCAAATGCATCAATTTTCATTTCTAATACTCCTGATAATGTCTCCCTTGAATTGTTAATGATTTACATTCAAGGCAGCTCTGCTCAAAAACGTTCTCCAGAACAAATAACAAATGAATGCAGAGTGTCAGCAATCCTGCGCTGAGAGTTGACTTTTGACACGCGCTTGATCTGTAAGCCTGCAAGTTCTGTTTCAAAATGCTAAATATTTTTGGCCAGGCCAAGATTGTTTAAATAGCAAAATCATGTAATAGTTTGTATTACAATCCCGTAAAATCCTCCTCCTCTGGATTAATCTATTGCAAACAAACGGAGACTTTCATTTGCAAGCTAGAGAAAGGAGAGCCCCTCAGATCCTCCAGCGATTGACACCTGTCATTCTTGCGGGTTTTTTTATGAAAGGAAGCTCACCTAGAACTCAGTCGTTCTGATGGTTCCATCGCTGCTTCCTTGAAAAACCTGATGTTTGTCTCACCACCCCTTCCCTCTGCCAATCCATAGATCTGTGTTTCTCAACTTTGGCAACTTGAAGATGTGTGGACTTCAACTCCCAGAATTCCCCAGCC